AGGCAGAGGGTTGTCCGAAGTGCCCGTCCGGCCTGACCCCCAGAGCCCAGCACCTTCCCCCTGGCCCGCGCCCGGTCACCCAGCCCACGTCCTCAGCCACCTCTGCTCGGGTCAGTCCTCCCCCTCTAAGACCCAGGCCGAGCAGGCCGCCGGCTCTGCAGACCTCTCACAGGCTCTGACCCTGCTTCTCTCACCACTGGTTCCCTCCTCTCCGTGTACAATCAGGCCTCTTCCACATTAAAACACACCAGAGTCCTTCCTGGATCAGTCGTCTCGGGGTTACTCCATCTGCCTCGTCCCTCTGAGTTGTCTGCAGCCACCTTTACACGTCCTCACTTCCCAGCCTCTGTCCCAACCAGAAGATCGCGCTCCTGGAGTTCGCCAGTGAAGTCCAGCCCTTCTTCAGCCTCCGAGGCCGAAGGCTGTTGGCACCTCCACTGCCCTTGGCCATTCTGTCCTTGAAGTCTTCCCTGTCCAAGCTTCTGCCGTCCACCTTTCTTCTTCCTCCGTTGCCTTTTCTTCTCTGCATCTGCATTAGGTACAGGAGTCTCTAGCATTGCGCCTTCTCACTCCACTTCTTCAGCGATCACCACCATATTCATGGAAACAATCACCGCCATATTTACCAGAGCTTCTAAAGCGCCCCCCCCACCCCGCCCCGTCCAGAATAGCTTGTCTCCACGGATCCTTCTTTCCCACCCACTCACTTGAGCACCATAGGTAAAGTGTTTTGGAATCCGACTCCGTCATAACTATAGATATGACCACAGGCATTTAAAGCTATATGAAGTCTGCTTCCTCATCTATAAAATAGGGATAATTTCCCTATCCTTTTTTTTCTTCTTTCAGAGTCTCACTCTATCACCCAGGCTGTAGTCCAGCGGCACCATCACAGCATCGACCTCCTGGGCTCAGGTGATTCTTCTGCCTCAGCCTTCCAAGTAGCTGGGACCATAGGCTCACACCACAACTCTTGGCTATTTTTTTTTTTTTTTTTTTTAAGTTATTGTAGAGACGAGGTCTTGCTGTTGCCCAGGCTGGTCTCGAACTCCTGGGCTCAAGTAATCCTCCTGCCTTGGCCTCCCAGAGTGCTGGGATGACAGGCATGAGCCACTGCGCCTGGTCTAATTTCCCTATATTAAAAGGGCATTTATAGCCGGGCTCGGTGGCTCAGCCTGTAATCCCTCACTTTGGGAGGCTGAGGTGAGTGGATTGCCTGAGCCCTCGGGTTTGAGACCCGCCTGGGCAACTTGGCGAGATCTCATCTCTACAATAAATCAAAAACTAGCCGGGTGTGGTAGCACACGCCTGTAGTTCCAGCTACTTGGAAGGCTGAGGCGGAAGAATCACTGGAGCTCAGTGGGTCGAGGCTGCAGTGGCCCGGAGCAGCCACCGCACTCCAGTCTAGGCGACAGAGTGAGACTCCAACTCAAAAAAGAAAAAATGGGCTTTCGTGAAGATTGTATTGATGTATGTGAAGTGCTTTACCTGGCACCAGTACCTAGTAGGTGCTTGATACATTTTAGCTTTCATTATGATTTACTCTATTTACCAGGCAAAACTGGCCACAAGCGGACCAGCTAAAATGGTCAAGGAGCCCACAAAAGTCCAACTCCACCAGGCAGGTTAGCGGAGGGTCTGGACTTTGAATGATTGTCCTGGAGATGAGTTTGGGAGAAAGGTCTTGAGAGAATTTAATTGCTCTGCCTAACAGGGTGAGGAAAAATTTGGAGTCTACAGAAGGTAAGATGAAAGGAGGAAGAGGTAAGAGAGGGATGGAGGGATAGTGGGCATTGCCTGCAGTGGGTGGAGTAAATGTGTAAAGAAAAAAAATTTCTTCTGAGTTGGAGTCTCACCCCATCACCTAAGCTGGAGTGCAGTGGCATGCTCATGACCACTGCAGCCTCAACCTACTGGGCTCAGGTGATCCTTCTGCCTCAGCCTTCCAAGTAGCTGGAACCACAGGTGGGCGCTACCATACCCAGCTAATTTCTGATTTATCTAGAGATGAGGTCTCACCAAGTTGCCCGGCCTGTTCTCGAACCCGTGGCTCAGGCAATTCCTTCACCTTGGCCTCCTAAAGTGCTGGGATTACAGGCTTGAGTCACCGTGCCCAGCCTGTGTAAAGGTTTTTCTTTTTGTTGTTTTGTGTTTTGCAGCATAAAAAGAGGTTTAATCGTAGGGCCACTGAACACAGAGATGGGGGGAAGCCTCAAATCCATCTTGTAAAGGAATTTTAAGAGTTGGAATGTCCAAATTCAATTTTAAGTTGCTGGTTTTATTTCATTTATCTCTTCATCTCTTGTGGGCTAAACACACAAAGACCACGTGTAAGTTTCTTTTCGTGTGGAAATTAATGAAAAGGGATTTATCCTCACATTTGGACAGCACACATTGGTGTATTAATTATCTATTGCAGCATCAAAAACCACCCCAAAATTTAGTGACTTAAAGTCATATCTTGGATCAGGAATTTAGGAGTGTCTCTGCTGGCTGGTTCTAGCTCAAGGTCTGTCATGAGGCTACAGTCAGATGGTGTCTGTGGCTGGAGTTGTTAGAGGGTTTCTTCACTTCCATGCCTGATGTGTGACCTGGGAAGCCTTCAACAGCTGGGGCTGGAAGAGTTAGAATTTCTTGGACAGTTTTCTCCTTTATCTCTTTGCGGGCTTTCCAAAGGGTCTCTCCAACATCATGACTTTGATAGCCGAGCAACCTCCATAGCAGCTCAGAGGGAAAAGAAGAGCACCTGGATGAAGAGAACTGCCACTTAGGGCCTATCCTGGAAGTCAGATAGTGCCACTTTCACCAAATTCTTTTGGTTGAGGCAATATACAAAGGTCTGCCCAGGTTCGAGGGCATTTCTTTTTTTTTTTTTTTTTGAGTCAGAGTCTCACTCTGTTGCCCAGGCTGGAGTACAGTTGTATGCTCTCGGCCACTCCAGTGTCGACGCTGGGCTCTGGCGATCCTTCCACCTCAGCCTTCCAAGTAGCCGGAACTACAGGCGCGTGCTACCATGCCCGGCTAATTTTTTGATATATGGTAGAGACGAGGTCTCACCAAGTTTCCCAGGCTGGTCTTGAACCCCTGGGTTCGGTCAATCCTCTTGCCTGGTCTCCCAAAGTGCTGGGATTACAGGCTTGAGCCCCCGAACCCAAACCAGATACCCATTTCTTGATGAACAAGTGTCAGTGTTACATTTGAAATATGTATTGATGCAATCATCTTTGGAAAGTACGTCTTACCACATTTAAGGTTATAAACTGAACAATTCAGTGATAAGTAAAGCTCAAAGCTGGAGCCAACCAAGATACCCAAGACAACCAAACCTTAGGGAAGGCTTTGGACCACAAGATATGGACTGTAGGTTCCAGTCAATTGCATGTGACTCTTAAGGAGCAGAGAGACCCTGACTAATTAAAGAGGCATACATCTACATTCCTGGATAAGAAAACTCAATGCAGCCGGGTTCGGTGGCTCAACCTGTAATCTCGCGGTTTGGGAGGCTGAGATGAGTGGATTGCCTGAGCCCGCGGGTTCGAGACCCACCTGGGCAACTTGGTGAGACCTCATCTCTACAATAAATCAAAAAATTAGCTGAGTGTGGTAGCGCGCGCCTGTAGTTCCAGCTACTTGGAAGGCTGAGACGGAAGGATCTCCGGAGCCCAGCAGGTCGAGGCTTTGGTGGCCGGGAGCGGTCACTGCACTCCAGTCTGGGTGACAGAGTGAGACTCCAGCTCAAAAAAGAAAAAAAAAAAAGAAAAAAAGAAAGCTCAATGTACAAAGTTGTCAAATTAATTTATAAACTCCATGCAATCCCAAACAAAATCAGAGTGCAGTTTTCATGAAATTTAACAAACTAATTCCAAAGAGCTTCTAGGAGAGAAATGACATAAAAATAGCCAAGAATAAGCCGGGCTCGGTGGCTCAGCCTGTAATCCCGCGCCTTTGGGAGGCTGAGGTGAGTGGATTGCCTGAGCTCGCGGGTTTGAGACCCGCCTGAGCAACTTGGCGAGAACTCATCTCTACAATAAATCAAAAAATCAGCCGGGTGTGGTAGTGCATG